GATAACCATGACTTGGAGAGTGTTAATTAACCAGCAAACTGACCTACCCACCCTTCCCTCATTTCAAGCCCAGGGGTATAAAGTATCATTTACATCGATGTGTGTCTGCAATCTCATTTCAACACCTTGACAGTCACCAGGTGTTTCTGTAAAAAGGCATCTGTACAAACTATAGCATCTGTTTAGAAGTAGCGAATCCAGAGAGGGGGGAGATTTAGAAATCTAGCAGCTGGTCTCAGTTTGAATATTTAATGTCAATTTGGACAGTGGGCCTGAAATGCTAGAACCCAAACAAAGATTTCCATGTTCTAATTATCTTCCGACCACTGTTGTGCTAATCTCTACTTGGCTTCCCTTACTGGTACTTCAGCTCTCCAGGCTGTACCATTTTGAGGGAAAACAGTGTGACTCTCTGCATAAAATGCCATGGAATATGAAAAGTAAAGCAGCTTTTTCTGCTTTACCAGGGGAAAACTCCAGACTTTCTCAAGTACCCTTCCAAGTTTTCCAAATCGTTCTGAGAATACTGAGAAGCAGATACATCTTGTATGTTCTAGAACCTGTCCTATTGGAATTGTTGCCTTCAGCTTGTTCCTCAATCACTCTTGATTTCTGAAGCAGCATATCTTCAACCCAAGCTTTCACAACAGCTGCTAATACCACCAGTGCCTGCATCAAAGCTGCAGAGACTGGTCACAAACACATCATGTTCAACTGTTGCCTAGGCCTTTGGCTTCAAGACAAAGACACCTTGCCCTTAACTTGTCTTATTCTTTTGACTTGTATTGCTCTTTTACAGCATCTGCCTTACCACAAATCAGGCCTGAGCCCTGTGTACAGGACCTAGGGGCTGTCTGATAACATGAGCGGCCCTTAGACCCACCCTACTGATGTGAACACATTGCTGTCTGGCCAAAGCTGTAGAAAGGAGTGCACAGTCCCTAGGGTGAATGTTCCCCTACCAGGATACTCTTATTTTCTCCCATATTAAAAGACATCCTGTTGAGTCCACACTCTTCCTCCATCATTGCCAGCTATGAATAAATCTCAGTGTGGGCATACAGACTGGGATCCTACTCCATGATTTTGACAATAAAAGTACTATATTTCAGCTACAGTTATTCATTCACTAATTTTTCTCTCGAGACGAATCTAGCACAAAGGTACTTACATGTTTTAAATAGCAAAATCTAAATTTTATTTTTCCAATGAGAATATTCCAACATATTCTGGCATTTCATCTTAAAATTCTTTGCTTTGCTTTTTAATAGGTTGACATATACATCTTAACACATTCATTTCCAAACGCTCCTAGGGAGATTGCTGAACTAGAAGATTGAATTGAGATTGGAGTCTTCCTGGAATAAATAAAAGAACAGCCACTAAAGGGTAATGGGATCCATTTATTATTCTGCCAGGCTCCTCTGCATACTATTCTAACAAACTCCTTGGGTGAATAAGAAACCAAAGCTGGTCTTTATAACACTGGGACTCACAGATGGAGGATGGGAAAAGTACCGTGCTCATGGAAAAAATATTTCATTTGTTGACTTGGCTTTAAATTGTATTACAGTTGAAAATGGGAGAAGCACTTGTGGTTAATTTAACAGATCCATTAGTGAAAGGACCCTTAGAAATCTGTCAAAACTTTTTATTATATAAATAGGAAAATTTCTCAGATGGGACAAATAACTTGCTCGAACTCAAATCATAAGAGCCACATGTCACTTGTTCATCATCTTGTGGCCAAACTCTATGCAGGTTGTTCTGAATCATAGTTATTATCCTTGGACTGTTTGTTAATGGTTGTTACTGACCCTTAATAGTCTGTGTTGTTTACCTTCCAAGGGTCTAACATTTTAACATGTAAAAGAACCTTGTAGCATAGGAAGAAGGTTTCGATGGTAAAATCAACCCTAAGGCCACCTAGTAAACTCAATGAGCAGGGGCTCTTAACCTGAGGTCCTTAGAAGGGCTTTAACCTGCTGGGTGTGGTGGCTCTTGCCTGTAATCCCAGCACTTTGGGAGGCTGAGGCAGGCGGATCACTTGAGGTCAGGAGTTTGAGACCAGCCAGGCCAATGTGGTGCAACCCCGTCTCTACTAAAAATACAAAAAAAAAGACCCGGGTGTGGTGTCAGGCGCCTGTAATCCCAGCTACTCAGGAGGCTGAGGCAGGAGATTCACTTGAACCCGGGAGGTGGAGGTTGCAGTGAGTCCAGATTGCACCATTTGTACTCCAGCCTGGCCAACAAGAGCGAAACTCCATCTCAACAACAACAACAACAACACAAAAGAGTTTTTAGCTTTGACATCGTATGCATTAAGCTCTTGGAATGATATGAATTATTTTATGCATGGGTAGTTACGTGCATTTTCTTTAGGGAGGGGATCTGTCGAATTCTAGACTTTCTTGACTGGCTGGATAAGACAAACCTTGAACATAAAAGTATTTTATTGGCTTATTTTCCTGGAGCTCATACCCCACTCCCTAACAACTTTCAGAGTGGCTGAATCTAATTGTGCTGTTTCTGTTTTTGTATGCCTTGCGACTCAGCTTGCCCCTGACTTCATTCTGATTTGGGGTTCTTTTTACTTTGTGGACAAAAAAGACACAAGGATGACTCCACACATTCATACCTCCCAGCTTAGTACCACCCAGTGGTAAGAAAATGACTCTCAGTCCCTACATGGGTCATATAGATGGCCATCACCACTCACTGGGTCTAGGGTGTTGAGCCATTCTGGTTGATCAGCCTGAGTCATCTTTGCACCCTGCCCCTAAACATTGATATTGATATTCTTACAGAACACATAGAGTTGGAGAAGAGTTCTCTAAAGGCACCAGGAGAAGGGGGTTGGGAAGTACATGGAGCAGATGAAGCTCTAGCAAACAGATTTTTTTGGGATCCACCATTCCCCAGATTCTCAAGGGAACTGTTTCAGAAAGGTCAACAAAAGTTTTCTTAGGAGCAAAGGCTATGTTATAGATCTCCTAGTAGATTGCATGAAACACTCTCCTGGCCTAACTCAAGAAGGCAGAGTACTTGGTTTTCACACAGTAACATATTTTTTCATCTATGCAAGTGTGCTTTGAATACTCCCTCTGCAATATAAATGTGTTTGGCCTTTGGGCTCACTTCATCTGCATAGCCTACTGATAGGAAAGTTGTCAATTTACTTGGAACAAATAAAGACAATTCTGTTTTCTGTAAAATATAATTTGCACATGATATGATTTGATCACGGCTGCCCTTCTGTGAATGTGCGTTCCTGAATGACTGTCACGAATTTTATCAATCAGAACTCAGGAGAGTACTAATCCAGAGAGATGTCCAATCCACAGTTGTTTGTTCTTGGCCTCAATCTCAGTGCCTGGGAATTCTTCAGTAGCAGCACATGCACCATGGCTTAATATCTTTACAGAATTATGTGAACACACAACTTTTTTTGTCTTTCTTTTTAGAATTAAAATAAGTAATATTTTAGGCCATTCTAAAGTGGAGACTAATATTTCCCAGGACTGATAGAAAACTTCTCACCAGGAAAATAGAAATGAGATGATAATTTGTGCAGAGGGGGCCTTCAAAGAAAAAAGAGTAGGCTTCCATTGCTTTTAATTAGGGAGTCTATTTTAATGCCCCATTGAGGATCTTTTTGATGGCACATTAGGGTCCATTGGGAAGGATATTAATTAAGCTCCAGGGTATTCTGTGTTGGAGGTCAAATGGGATGAGCTGGCATTATCGAGCAGCAAGGAAGAGAGGAAAAGCGGGAAAAGATCCTGAAAGCCAGGTGTATTGGTTCCAGTGCTGGCCAACCACTTTGTCTGAGGGGAGCAATGTTGTATCAATAGCTCACCAGCTGTCCAGTCCTTCAGGGAATAGAATTCTACAACTGGGAGAATTCTACCTGCTATTTCCTCAGGACAACTGTAACATTCAGGGGACCTGTGCATACCTAGGTGATAAAAGCTATATTTCTCACCTATGGGTGGAAACTTGGCTTTTGGGCTTACCCTGAACTGTGATAATAGGGAAGGAACTTTACTTTCCATATGCAACATTTTCAATTGAAAATTGCTGGGATGGTACAATTGACTGTGAAGGAGAGTCAAATACCAATGTCAGCACCATTCCCACTCATCTGGGATAGACTCCATGCCCTTCCCTAAATCACAGAGGCTGAAGCCTGCGAATGGTATTTTCCAGAATTTCTTGCAGCAAGGTTTCAGATTAGATTTAATCCATGATGGGCACTAAGGTGTGGTTAGAAAGTGGGCAGATGAGATCAGATGGGTTCAGGGTGATGGGGAGAGATCTGTGAAAGGATACAATGTACAGCTAGATAGGAGGAATAAGTCCTAGGGTTCTATACCACTGTAGGATGACTATAGTAACAAAAATACATAGTTTCAAATAGCTGCAAGGAAGATTTGAGACAATGAATGTGCTAATGACCCTGATTTGGTTGCTGTACGTTATACATATGGAAACATTACTGTGTACCCCATGAATATGTTCAATTAAAAGTAGTTTTGCAAAATAGTCCAAAAAAAGAAGAAGAAGAGTGGAAGCAAAATCAATATTATTGCTCCTCTGGCAGTTGTGGGCAGATGCATGGGTTTTGGCATTTGCTTGTGAGCCTCTGCAGTGGCTTGCAGGTGTTAACCTCGAATGATCTGTCTCTTGCTGCTGGCAGTTGTTCTATCAGTGATTGTTCTGAGACTTCTTTTTGTATAAAAATGACATATTCTTTATTTTGCATACTTTAATTTCAGAACAAAATGAACAAAATAAACAAAAAACCCCAGAATATATAACATCCAATTCTGCTGTCAGAGTAGGGAGGGAATGGGAACTTGACACCCTTGTTTCCTGCCTTCAACACAAGGACAGGAGAGAAAAAAAAAAACAATAGACACCAGCAGGAGGAACCAAGTGGGGCTGCCATGGGATCCGTGGGGACACTACACCATGGTGAATTTTCCAACTATGAATTCCTAATCTACTTCTTCCATGCGAGACACATCCTTGTCACCCTCAAGAGGGGCAATCTCATCAGGAACCACAGCACTGTGTTCCTCTGCTGCCACTTAATCTTCATTGATACCTAGACCTAGCTTGATCATGCAGTAGATGCGGTTGGAGTGGGTCTGGGGATCCTCAAGGGAAAAGCCAGAAGAGAGCAAGGCAGTTTCTAACGGCAACACCACCAGGTCCTTGACTGCCTTGTCATTCTTGTCTGCCTCAGCCTTTTGCTGCAGCGTCTCCACAATGGGGTGGTCAGGGTTGATCTCCAGGTGCTTTTTGGCCATCATATAGCTCATGGTGGAGTTGACCCGAAGTGCCTGGGCTTTCATGATCTGCTCCATATTGGCTGTCCAGCTGTAGGTGCTGGTCACAATGCAGCAGGGTGAAGACACAAGCCTACTGGAGATTGTCACCTTCTCAACCTTCTTATCTAAGATTTCTTTCATGAGCTTGCAGAGGTTCTCAAACTTTGCCTTCCTCTCTTCCATTCTCTTCTTCTCTTCATCCTCAGGTAGTTCCAGACCCTCCTTGGTAACTAAGTCCAGGCTCTTCCCATCAAACTCCTTGAGTTGCTGCACACATAGCCATCAATGGGCTCAGTCATATATACCACCTCGAAGCCCTGCTTCCACACTCCCTCCACAAAAGCTGAGTTGGCAACCTGCTCTTTGCTCTCACCAGTGATGTAATAGATGGACTTCTGTATTTTTTCATGTGAGAAACATACTTGACAAAGAAGTCATCTCATCTCCAGACCAGGAGCTGTGATAGCACAGCAGCTCAGACAGGCGGCATAGGTTAGTGGAATCCTTGTGGATCCTAAGCTTGAGATTTTTAGAGAATTTCTCATAGAATTTCTTGTAATTGTCCTTGTCTTCCACCAGCTCAGCAAAGAGCTCAAGGCACTTCTTAACAATGTTTCTGTGAATGACTTTCAAGATTTTGTTCTGCTGGAGCATTTCTTGGGAGATGTTCAGGGGCAAATTCTCAGAGTCAACCACACCATGGATAAAGTTGAGACACTCTGGTATCAACTCATCACAGCTGTCCCTGATAAACACACGATGGACATAGAGTTTGATGTTGTTCTTTTTCTTCTTGTTCTCAAAAAGATCAAAGGGAGCCCGATGAGGAATGAATAACAATGCCCTGAATTCCAACTGACCTTCTACAGAAAAGTGCCTGACTGCCAACTGGTATTCTCAGTCATTGGTGAGGCTCTTGTAGAATTCTCCATACTCCTCTTGGGTGATGTCTTCAGGGTTTCTGGTCTAAACAGGCTTGGTCTTGTTTAGTTCTTCTTGATCAATGTATTTCTCTTTGATCTTCTTAGTTTTCTTCTTACCCTTACCACTGTCATCCTCCTCATCTGAACCCACATCTTTGATCTTGGGCTTTTCTTCATCATCTTTATTTTCCTCTTCTTTCTCACCTTTCTCTTCCTCTGCCTTATCATCACTAATTTCTTTCTCTCGTTCCTTCTCCAGATAAAGGGTGATGTATCCCAGCCTAGCAACTGAGAGTGCTTCTTCACTACTTCTTTGACCTGCCTCTCTTCTAAGTACTCTGTCTGATCTTCTTTAAGGTGGAGGGTCACTTTGGTACCCCTGCCAATGGGTTCACCATGGTCAGCATGCACAGTAAAGGAACCTCCTGCAGAAGACTCCCAGGCATACCATCATCATTGGGCTTTGTGATCACAACCACTTTCTCTGCTACCAGGTAAGCAGAATAAAAGTCAACACCAAATTGCCCAATCATGGAGATGTCTGCACCAGCCTAAAGAGCCTCCATGAATGCTTTGGTACGAGACTTGGCAATGGTTCCCAAATTATTTGTGAGATCAGCTTTGGTCATGCCAATGCCTGTGTCTACCAAAGTCAGGGTATGTTCCTGAGTGTTGGGGATGATGTCAATTTTCAGCTCTTTCCCACTGTCCAACTTGAAAGGGTCTGTCAGGTTCTCATAGTGAATCTTGTCCAAGGCATCAGAAGCATTAGAGATCAACTCCTGAAGGAAAATCTCCTTGTTGGAATAGAAGGTATTGATGATGAGAGACATGAGTTGGGCAATTTCTGCCTGAAAGGCAAAAGTCTCCACTTCCTTCTCTCCATGGTGCACTTCCTCAGGCATATTGAAAAGAAAAAGCTTGCACATATTAGAGAGTAAGGTGGGCTGGTTGTCCAACACACAGGCAGCACAAACGCTGTGCCAGAGTGACTCAAGAGCCATTCTGTGACTTTTTCAACTTCCGGGTCCTCCAAGAGCTGGGGAGAATCTGAGAGCTGGAGGGAGCTTTCTCTAGTTCTTTCCTCCTCATCTCTTCTAAGGATTTTGTTAGCATCTCTTTCCCTTTTTATGTGAAATACCTGGAGTATATTTTTCTGATTGATGCTGACTACCCCTAATAAGATTTTACATAAGTAAATGTGTCTATGAGTGAGACAGAATGTAAAACATTAGATGTTTCAGACAGAAGCCTGAGGAGGGCTTTGGAAAAATATAAACTGCCATAAATATTGCTTTTGATTAGGCAGCTATTTGGGGGACAGAGAGCCTATCAGCATTTCTAGGCAGTCACTGTTTCATGTGAAAGAATGTACCCAATATTAGAACGTAATTCTATATTTGGAGTGCTACAAAAACAAACAAAACATCTCAGGATACTATTTTGTTAATGGAAATTCCTGAAAACAAAATCGTGGGAGGTGGTGACGCTTGAAAAACAGAAATGATTCTAGAGGATTTTAAGGAGAGAGGGCCAAGAAGGAACTTTACAATCTCCGCTGGTCTCGGGAGGCCCATGTGCAACTGCTATCTTGTCAGCAGGGTCCTTGCTGAACGTTGTTTGCGATAGTACTCACCTTTCCCCTACCTTCACATCTGGCCCCAGCTTCCATCTCAGCTTCATGTCTCTCCATGTTATTGGTGAGTGTCTTGACTATAAGTTGTCCAAGTTCTTGATGTTTTGAACAAAGAATTGGACAAAACACACAGGAAAGCAAGGAGAGAATGAAGCAATGAAAGCAGAGATTTATTGAAAATGAAAGTAAACTCCACAGGGTAGGAGTGGGCTGATCGACAGCTCAAGGACCCTGGTTACAGGATCTTCTGAGGTCCAAATATTCTCTAGAGGTTGTCTATTGGCCACTTGATGTACACCCCATGCAAATGAAGTCGTGGCCCGAGATCAGTCTGATTGATTGTGGAAAGCAACCAATCAGAAGCTGAAGTGAAGTTACAAACTTATACCCATGCAAATGTCTAATTGCCAATTAGAGGCTAAATTGAAGTTACAAAGTTACATGCCTATGCAAATGAAGACTTGGCACACAATTAGTCTGACTGGTTGTGGAAAGCAACCAATCAGAGGGACTTTCAATTTTCCATCTGCCACAAAGCAAAAGGGGAGGGAGGGAGTTGCAAAGGGAGTAGCCTCTGGTCCTTTTGTTACTTAGGCATGAAAAGTTGGTGTTTTCCTTTCAATTTATTTCTAGGAAGTCAGTGTGAATCGGCCTTAGGTTCCCTGCCACCAGACCCTATTCTCCTGCCTCAACCATGGTATATGGAACAATCTGATACCTTAACTATGTATTTTACTGTTTGTCTCTCCCCGCTGAATTCCATAAAGTTAGACATGTTGGTCTGTTGTGTTCACTGCCATATCCTCAGTAACTTAAATTGTACTTGGCACCTAGAAGGCACTCAATAAATACTTGTCGAAAAATTGAACCCCACTACCCAAGATACAACCACAGCTAATTTGTTTTCTTTCCTTCTTATATAAATGTATATTTAACAGTTCTATATGGAGGGAATCTTAGATTCTTAGTTTGTTTCTATATATTTTTCCCCCACTCAGCCTGAAGGAGTGCCCCTCAATGGAAAAGAAAATGAAAATGCTCATTATTTTTCAAGGACTTTAGGTGTGGAGTGGACGGGTGAGTGTAGCATGGTACTTAGCACTTGTTTAGTCTTCTAGCCCTATTTCTTGCTGGGCTGTTATGCTGGTGTCTGAAAAGAGAAAGATACAACAATTAAAACTAAAGTAAAATTATGCGTCGCTGAAATGCCTGAAAGATATTGCTTACTGAGACAAAGCCGTACAGATAGTAGATATTTCTTCTACCTTAGGAGGCAGCAATCTGTCTTCTCCAGGCTGGGGTTAGGCACAGGGGCCTGAGTGTGAGCCAGGGGATCCATCGCCTGGAGCAGGAAGTGGCAGAGGGTGTCACCTGAGCAGGTCCAGCAGGGGAAGACAGCATGACAGGCTCTGTCCCACAGCCAAGAGGACTTGGTTTCCAAACAACAGCCTGTATGTTTTCAGGCACACAGGAGACACTCCGTGGAGACTTTCAGAAGGGGTTGAGAGGAATTTAGGAGGCAGGGGCTCCCACAGAGCCTGACAGTCCTGTTTTCTCACTATTATTGTAGACTCTATTTTGCTGTCAGGCTTGGGTGGCTTGAGAAGCCACAGATGATACCTTTGCTGCTGCTGCTGCTCCTACTGCAGTGGTTGCAGATACTGTTACCATGTCCCTTCCCCCACCTGGTGTCACCCCTGTTCTCCCACAAATATGGTACTATGGCACCTTTTAATATGGCTGCTGAAGGGAATGTATTATGCTAATTAGATACTTGGTTCTCTTTAAGGTCTTTGTCAAAGTGGTATTATTGGGCTCTAATTTGTCAGTGAACACGAATCCTATTTGGAGGTCTGAAATCTTATGGTAACACGTGTTGTCCAAACAATCCAGATGACTGAGAACAGCCCTGTCTGATAGGACTTTCTGCACTGAGGGGTGCAGCAGCCACCAGCCACGTGTGGCTATTGAACCCTTGAATTGTGGCCAATGGGATAGAACTGGAATTTAAACTTTATTTATTAATAATTTTAAATAATATGAATTTAAAATGGTAGTATCCACATGTGGTAGTGCAAATCTAGAATATATATTTATGTTTTAAAGACTATAATCTAAATGAAAACACAAAATTTAAATGCAATTTTAATTCTTGGAGGACAGTAGTCTAGGCGACATCTGGCTTAAGACCTTCTGTACCTTTGTTCTCATGACCATTGATGATTTTGATGGCTGATCCTTGATATTTAGGAAAGGGATGCTTTTGTCTCATCCCAGTAAAAGGATAAGCTTATTTGCAAATTAAGAAAATGACCACAAGGTAATCCCAGCACTTTGGGAGGCCAAAGTGGGCGGGTCACTTGAGGCCAGGAGTTCAAGCCCAGCCTGGGCAACATGGAGAAACCCTGTCTCTACAAAAAATACAAAAATTAGCCAGGCATGGTGTTTTGCTCCTATAGTCCCAGCTACTTGAGAGGCTGAAGTGGGAGGATTACTTGAGTCGGGGTGGTGGAGGTTGCAGTGAGCTGTGATTGTGCCACTGCACTCTAGCATGGGCAACAGAGAAAGACCCTGTCTCAAAAAAAAGAGAAAGTGACCACAGGACAAAGACATTGTTATTAGTCGAGGTTCTCCAGAGAAACAACCAATGGGACACACATACACACACACACACACACAGATTTATTATGAGGTTGGCTCACATGATTAGGGAGACTGAGAAGTGCCATATCTGCTGTCTGCATGCCTGGGTCCAAAGGCCTGAAAACCAGAGAAGTCAATAGTGTAGGTTTTAGTCCAAGGGCAGGAGAAGACCCACGTCTAAACTTAGACACACAGGAAGCAAAAGGGGCAAATTCCTCTTTCTTCTGCCTTTTTGTTATTAACACATTGGATGATACTGGCCCACATTGGGGAGGGCAATCTACTTTATTGATCCACCAATTTAAATGCCAGCCTCATTCAGAAACCCCCTCACAGGCACACCCAGAAGTAAAGTTTAATCTTGGCACCCCATGATGCAGTCAAGTTGACAGGGAATTAACTTTCATACCATTCATCCAGTGTATCAGCAAGAGATGGATTCTCTGGATGTGCTGAACCAGTTTCTAAACCTCAAAGACTGATGACCAGAGCCAGGATCATGATGCATTCCAGAAGGAGATGCCCCATGAGGGCCCGAAACTGGCTGGTCACCCTCTGAAGTCACCTTGACTTCACTGCCTATAATGTTTTTAAAAAATCAGGCTGGGTGCGGTGGCTCATGCCTGTAGTCCCGGCACTTTGGGAGGCCGAGGCGGTGGATCACGATGACAGGAGATCGAGACCATCCTGGCTAACACAGTTAAACCCTGTCTCTACTAAAAATACAAAAAATTAGCCGGCATGGTGGCAGGTGCCTGTAGTCCCAGCTACTCAGGAGGCTGAGGCAGGAGAATGGTGTGTACCCAGGAGGCGGAGCTGCAGTGAGCCGAGATTGCACCACTGCACTCCAACCTGGGGACAGAGCGAGACTCTGTTCAAAAAAAAAAAAAAAAAAAAAAAAAAAAAAAAAATCCGTGATAATCACTGTACCTAAGAAGACAATTACTGCATATTGAATTGTCACTATAGACCAGGTATTTCACTATGTGTCATTTTATTTTTCATTTAATTCAAGTTTGCAGTGAGCAGTAATTTTACCCTTATTTTATACATGGATCAACTGAACCATTTTGCTCTGGTCTCATAGCTAGAGTGAAGCACTTGGCCTTGAACTTGGGACTTTGGTTCCTAAAGACAGGATTCTTCTTCTGTGCCACCTAGCCACCAAAGATACACTGAAGGTAGCATGAGGAAGTCAGGAGATGTAGTTTTATGCACTTGCATTGAGATGAACCAACTCTTCTAAAGCAACAAAGTATAAACTACCATAGTTCTCCTAAAGCATACACCCACTTAGGTTTTTGGCTTCCATTTTATAGAGCATATGAGATCTTCTGCAGAGTCCTCTTGTGAGTACTTTCATTGTCTTTGAGAGATTTATCAAAAGTTATTCATTTCTACCAGGCTCTTGTCTACAAAGAAACTATTTGTTGTTCACAGAGGCCCTCCAGTTGCAGGACTGGGGAACAACCACAGCATTTTCTGGATAGTCTGAGGGAGCAGAAGTGAGTCCTCTGGACACGAAGGTTACCTTTGGTCTTGGACTTTGCTCAAGCGTCAGAATGCCAGAGCAATGATGCTGCCTTTTGCAGCTGTACAATAAAAGAGACACAAACCAGAAATTTTATATGACTAGAGGTAAGGGAAC